GCCCTCCCCTGCCCCCGCCACAGCCCCCGCGCCCCGCCTCACCTGGGGCTTGCAGTGCTCCTCGATCCATCTGAAGACACAAGCCGAAAGCTCCTGAAAATTCGTTACTGAGATGGAGGCGTTGAAGGACTGGAAGAGGGAGTCCATTATGCCTTGGAAAACATTGAACTTCACCTCGTCAGAGACCTGGTCCTTCCCCTCGTTCGGGTTGTCGTGATGAGCTTTGACAATCTGCTCGTAGTTCCTGAAACAAACCAAGCACCCCGTGTTCAGCAGCAGAATGAGGCCTCCCATGCCCAGCTCTATCAGCCACAGGGAGAGCTCCCTGATCAAGAATTGCCTGCTGAGAGCTGCCACAGAACGCAGAGGACCAAGAGCCTGTAGAAGATTCTGCATGGAAATAACCACTGGGAAGCTGCAGCTGCTCCTGATGGTGGGAGCAGATTTGTCTTGACTCAGGTCCTCCCCCAGCCGACCCACGACAGACCCACGCTAATGAGCCGCTGGGGCAGAAACAGTGAGGGTGGGCAGGGGACCCCGACAGCTCTTCCCTTACACTTTCATGATCTTTAAGGCCATCACGTCTTTCCTGAGGGTAGAAACTTCCTCCTCTTGCTTCTTCTTTTCCTTGTGCAGGAACTGGATGTAGTCGATGGCTGGTCATGAAAACACAGGGTGAGGATTTGAGAGCAGGCACAAGTCCCTGAGATCCCCACAGAAGGGCCCTGAGCCTGTGCAGCATCAGCTCACACTTACACTTTCATGATCTTTAAGGCCATCACGTCTTTCCTGAGGGTAGAAACTTCCTCCTCTTGCTTCTTCTTTTCCTTGTGCAGGAACTGGATGTAGTCGATGGCTGGTCATGAAAACACAGGGTGAGGATTTGAGAGCAGGCACAAGTCCCTGAGATCCCCACAGAAGGGCCCTGAGCCTGTGCAGCATCAGCTCACAGCTGCCCCCATTCTCCTTGGGGCAGCAGGTGGGTGGAGGTTACCAGCACCTGGGGTCCTCTAGACTATCATCACACCTGAAGGTCTCAAAGTGCTGAACCTCCCTCCACTCTGCCCAGCTCTGTGGAGGTGTTCTGGTGGCTGACAGCACCCCCTTCCCTCCGCCCACCCTCAAGACTCACTCTTCTGAAGGACGACGGCCTTGCTCAGCTTCTGGCAGCCTATGGAGAAATCCTGCTGCTCGCAGGTGGGGACGATGGCCTGCAAGTCGTCGTAGCCTTTCTGGGGGAAGCAGAGCTGGAGTTCAGCGGCACAGGGCTGCGCGGCCAAACCG